AAAGGTATCTTTAACTTGCTATGTGGATCTCAAAATAGCAGCATTTAAAAAACAGACCAGCTGATTTCTGTGTTTGTTGATTCTAGGTAACTGATGTCACAGGGGAAGTACAAAGGATTTGAAAGGATTTGAAGAGGAAACAGTTCTTGTCTAACTTGTAGAAACACTGTTTTTTATGGTGTACCCTTTTCATGCACATGTTTCTGTGTTGTCAACCAATCAAAACTATTGTTAGCTGGAGGTAGAAGTGCTACATACAAAGATGGATAATTGAATGTAAATATGAACATTTCAGACATATGCTTAAGTCAGTTATTTCAAGGAGGTTAACCTCCTTGGTTATTTCAACAATGTCTCTGAGTGTTACTTGCATATGACTTTTGCTTGCTTGGTTTTCTTCCCTAGCATGCACACACACACACACACACACACACACACACACACACACACACACACACACACACACACACAAGGAAAACACTTTTATTTACACATCAATCATTAATGGTTTTTAGGGCAAGATTTTGTGTTCACTGTTCACCATTGACTTTTATTTACAGCTTTAAGTTTTACTTGGAAATGGATTAATTGTATGTCTGACAGGAATCTTGCATATGTTACTGTGTGCCCCTTGTTAAAGACTTAAGTGTATGATAGGGTCACACTGTACACTGGTAGTCCTTGTCATTTAAATGTTGTAAATAGTTTGGGTGTTGGTCATTTATATACAACTTGTGTATAAATATGAATCCGAAAGTTGACGTGTAGTTGACAGATTGTAAGAAATTGTATGAGGAAGACAATGATTCACAGTTCATGATTTATTGGTTTGATGTTTTTGATGTCACTGCCAATTTATTTCTTTGGTTCATCAAGTCTTCTCATTTCAAGAAGTAGAGGGCAGCTAGCTATCCAAAAGAAAAAGGATAACATCTATAGGTTTGGAATGACTTCCTTTGAAGGTATATTCCTGGGGTTTTCAAATCTCAGTTATGAGATAAATTTTAAACAGTGTATCTGGGAAAATGGACAATATGAATGTCTAGTAAATGTCCATGAAAAAATTGTTGATGGGTAAAGGGCTTGATGTCATTCTTTTGTTGTTGTTAAATATTGTTGATGAAATGTAACACCATATTTTGTGGCACAACCATTGCCATACACTAGCTCATGTGAACACTCAGTAATACCAAAGTAGTTCCATGATCAGCCATTTCCCAAAATATACATATAGGAGCTAGAAGTCCTTGCATCCTGAAAGCATTTGTTTATAACCCCATTACTTGGAAATAAAAAAGGGAAATATAATATCTATTCATCCCTGAACCAAGAAATAAATTGGTGTTAATAAATGTGATATTTCAATGAAAGCTGCTGAAATACATTTGGAAGAACACAGTTGTAAAGCAGTAGTTAAAGTGAAACTACAAGAGAATAAATAATCCTAAGACTAAGTGTATTTATGATGTTTGAAATGCAGTAACAATAAAACAATATAGAGTGTTTATAAACTGCACAGAAAATGTCTCATTTGTGAAATGTTTGTTGTGGTATTTGATGATTTACACAAAGAAACCTGCACATTTATCTTGAGGATTAGATGACTGCAAAGTAGGTGGTATAAGTACTATGAAGTGCAAAATGTAAGCAAAACACCCATACCACATGGTTGAGTTCTGCTGCATTTCATGTACATTTTTTTTCTGGGAATTCAGAAACAAGAATATATATAATGTTATATATATAAAAAGAAAGAGAGATGTTGATGCAGCTACGTATAGATATAACATTGCATGGTTCCTTATTGTTAATGACTGTCATGGTTTAAAGTAATATACAGTACCATCTATACCACTAACAATGCCAATGAAGATTTATTGGCATTGATTTAACTCGAAGACCTAAGTTTATCATTCTGTCTTATTGTCTGCAAACTGTTAGTTGTTCCTGGTACAAAATTTACATTTCTTAAGAAGATTTCTGGTGGATATGACTTGTTGGCTATAGAAACTCAGTGCACCAGTTGTTGGCAAAAGACAGCAACATCTAGTCTCTTCACTACTTCAACACAGCAGAATCAGTTCTTGCTTGTCTGGATAGCCATGGCAGTGTCTGTTGTAATCACTGGTCCTTCGGGGGCTGCCATAGCTCTGTTTCCCTGTCTTTAGGTTCGTTGGACTTCCGTAGACGCACTCTGCCGCTGCCCCACCATCTATTCTCATGTATATAGAACATCTTCTCAAGTTTCTTATTGTCAGGACCTGCAAGATGCTCCTTCCTCTGCTCCTTGAATGTCAGTTTCAAGATGTCTTTTTGGCTGGCTCCAGCCTGCAAAAGGAAAATAGACATTACTCTCCCCAATTTTATATTAGCTGGAAGTTTGGAAGAAATTGATAGAAAAGCACACACAGAAGTATCAGACATTGTACGTATAACATATAAAAAGCACATAATTACAAATATGTAACGTTATGATAAACTTCAACATAATGCCAAGGTATGTAAAGTTAACGTTAAAGGGGGAGGGGGCAGTGGATCTGTTGAAACGTTGACTTAAGTTATTTTACAGGTAAACGACGTCACATCAAATGACGTTAAACATACAAACATATGGCAACACCTTAATCTACGTCATCTCTGTAACCAAACGTCAGATACCTCCACGTCCATGTGGTCCAAGGGCGGTAGCGGCTTGGTGTGTTCGTACGGGAAGGGTTTGGACGGGTGATAGCACACGATCGTCCGCCCGTCGGATGTTACGGCCAGCTCTGGCTCACACAAGGTGTCGTCAGCCTTCCTTGTGCTGTACTTGAGATGGGCACATGCTAGGGGCTGTGATCTACTGGTGAAAATTTGCAAAAGACTCCGAATTCGTGCCATGGTCGCCGCCATGTTGGACGTCAAAGTGGTGAGGGTATCGTACGGAAGTTTCTGCACATGCGTTACATGTCATGGCCGGCAGGTGGCATTGTTATATCACTTTGGGCAGAAAAGGGGGACTGTATCTAGTGATCTAGTCTCCACCAGACTTTAATGTAGCCAATTTGATGGTGATCTAGCCTCCTATTCAGGCGGGGGGGGGGGGTATTTTCAGATCAAACGTAGATCGCACGCAATAGTAGGCCGCCAACCCTATATAACCATCCCTATGTAGGGTTAGTTGGCAACCGGAGCTTGTCGCGTGCGATCTACGTGTGATCTGAACCAACAAGCGACCGATCCCGGAACTAAGGAGGCTAATATGAAACAATCATGGCAGAAATTTAACTGGGAACACCGTACAATCGGCATCGTCTCACAAAGCACGAACATGAAAACGTCTGACGAAAATTTGCAGGTGAAGCAAACATAGATTAAAGAAATGAATTGGCTCTTCTTGAATGAAGTACTACTAGCAGCAAATATGTCAAATAACACAGCGTTCTAAATGCAGACGTTGATTAGCCCGAGTACTGCAAATTCATTTCCGCAGAATCGAATCGAATTCCATTCCAACATGCGAAACACGTTGGCCTTCAGCCTTCGAGTGCGCTCCTCGCCCTTCAACGGTTATCGCGAGGAAGTGAAGTGGAAGACGGGACAGAACCTTTGTGTTATATAAGGCATCAGGTGCGTCAATTTTGTCAAGGCTATAGGGCCAGTCAGACTAGGCGGATTAGCAGAATGCACCAACCGAGACAAACAAGTCGCTCTGAATCATATATTGTGGAGATTTACAAATGCGGTCATGGCTTTGTACCTATCGCATGTAGTGCATCTCTAGTTCAGGGGTTTGTAGACGTATCAATGAGTTTTGAACCGGCTTACCAGAGATTCTTGGACGATACACAACCCTACCTCAGAGTTGTAATTTGATGTTCCATCGTGTATATTGAACTAAATTCACGGTAGTAATCGTCTTGTAAAGACAATTGTCTGACATCAAACAACACAAAAATCCATTCTGGAGTCTTTTTTAAACACTTAAGTTATGATCTTTATTAAATCTCTTTGCATCATCTCACAATCAAATTTCAACATATCTTACTTACCAACAAGACTGGATATGTACGACAAGATCAAACAATACCATGAACATTGATAACCTGGTGACCAGTCGCTCTCAGGACTACAGACTGTAGTTCCTCGGTACTGTTAACTTCTATCTATGCATGGCCCATCCCAGTTAATTTCCAAGCAGATCCTAGGGTGGCAAAAGACAGTACTAGTATCACATTGGCCAGGTATAGTATCCATTCGCCAGAGAGGGTCCATGGGTGGTGTATGAACCATCTCTGGCGAATGGATACTGCCTGGCAAATTTGATACTGTCTTTCAATTTGCAACCATAGGATCTGCTTGGAGATTACATCCCGGTGACGTCGAGCTTGGCTGTGTAGGCTCATTGGTAACAGTCTGGTTTCCAGGTTATTTGAACATAACATTTATGTCACTATTAAATTACTCTGAACTACGTCACACTGAACAGAAGGTATTATTTGAACATAACATTCATGTCACTATCATTGATCAAATTACTCTGAACTACGTCACACTGAACAGAAGGTATTGTACGATGTCGATTATTGCATTACAACCGCGACACAGATACGTCTCAAGCCACAGGTGTACGTTGCTGAGCATAGCATTGATCACATCATCATTTAATTTTATGAGCTTGTTTGTGACACAAACGATGAATATCTTCTGTCGTCAGACTACAGCCATATTCGGACTTTCAGACGTGCGTATTATATATTATATCATACCCGGGCCGCGATAACGTTCGATAACGGGTTCCGGACCGGGCCGTACGTTACGGTACGGCCCGGTCCGGAACCCGTTATCGAACGCTTCCATGGCTTCCATAAAACGATTCGAACGCGTTTCGTCCTAACCGCGTGTGCCCCTTTCGAAAATTCGAATACAGAATCCGGACGTTGGAACTGATGTTGTTGCATTTGAGGGTTTAGGGGCACCAACTTTTGGCTCATCTTGCATTGAAAGGCGCGTTTTCTTGGGTGGGTATGATATAAATAAAATACAACACGGTGTATTCCGCATCGCCCTCGGTCCCGGCCCTCCCGCGAGTCGGATCGCCCTCCGGCCTGCGGCCGTCGGGCGATCCGACCCGCGGTCGGGCCGATACCTCGGGCGATACGGAATACCCCGTGTTGTATTCTATATATATATATTGAAATCGGGAGTCTATGAGTAGGCACTGATCTCAGGTTTCCTTTTTTTTCTGCACAGGGCGTATAATTCTGCTCGTATATACACATGTGATGGTCGTGAATGGATGAATGCAATTAATTTTGGATGTTGTCCTTGTTGGGGTCAGGCTGTTGTCCGGTTTTCACCGATAGGCACTTTTGCATACTTGAAATATTGTTTTCATGATGTTTGTTAGAAAATCTGGGGAATTTTTGAATGTATTATGACTATTGCTTTGGATAATTCTTTACATAGAAAATATTTTCTATTGAAAAATGATTTGAGAATATTGTTTATATCTTGAGTTATACGAATGAGAAAAGTACCAAATCTATGACATACAATTTTCTTTTCAAAAATATCATTTGTTCGGTTCGAAAATAGTGATTTCATAATAGAGCTTGCTCGATTCCAGTACCATTGATATCCATACTTACTGTAGATATTTACGTAGAAGTTGGCTTTTTCAAATATCAAAACTTAATACCACAGAAGGTTCTACAAACATACATTTTTTTTCCATAATCATCTTCTTAATGTTTATGTTAGACACAATCCACAGTCCGACATTCCTCCGACTAACTGTATAAGGTTAGTATCTAATATAAAAGTAGTTTTAGATTCCTCGTTAACAAATACATCTATAAAAGTAAGTGTGCACATCCCGATTGAATCACTGATATCGATACGATATCTGGTCAACAATTCACCATGTCAAGTCAAACCACGGTCCACGGCTAAATAAAAAATACGGATAACACACATTTCATCAGTATTAAAAACAACATTGTACATAGACATATTATTTTCCCGATATTTTGAAAAATACATTTCCTTTTTCTCCTTATATTTCCTACTCATCATATAGATAAAGGGTTACGTCGATGAAGGTTAGACATCCAGGTAAAGGGTTGTTGTCAGAATCCTGAACAAATAGACAGTCCTTCTAGTAAAATATACATGTAACAATCACAAAACTCTGTTCCAATCTAGTACCCGACTTAACAACCAATTATTGTTTTTCGTTAACATCTGCTGATCAAGGTTTCTTCATTTGAAGCACTTGACATGTTGGCAAAGGGCCTGAGCAAAGGGCTCGAATACAAAAATACAGCTGTTCTTATCTTTTTTAAAAACCTTGATGAGGCACTCCATATGGCACATATCTCAATCTGCACACCGACGGCAAGCTTGTTGTTGACTTCGGGAGAAAAAAATCCGTTTCGTGTTTGAACTATAATCCTATTTCTATTGTAGTAGAACGTTACTTGTATCTGGACACATGAAGAAAAATCTAAATACATACTCAAGTGGTGTTGGAATTGACAATCACCAGCAATATGACGGGAACTTGAAAGTTGTCTCCGTCACTGACATGCAACAGAAAGACGAAAAAGACAAACCACTAACGGTGATACACTGGTGCAGTCCTGTTTGTTTCACTGAAATGCTTTTGATTTTTATAAGCGTTTTTCACGGTCCGATGGCGGTAAAAATAACAAGGAAACACATAATACTACAAGATAGACAAACTTTTAACTTTTCCATATAGATATCAAAGACATTAAAATCATAATCACAGTACAGAAAAAAAGACATTTTAAGGGAAATCACCTCACGTCAGGTCACATTTCTAAACAGGGGCCCGGCCGGGCTGTATCGATTAACGCAAAATCAACAATTCATATCAATACTATACGCAAATAGTTCCCATTTTTCTCTCTTTTTTAAAAACTTTTTTGTGCTTTGTTTTCTTTTATATCATACCTTTCGTTCCATAAGACTGCCCGGTCGAACCCCGGTTTGGAAATGTGACCTTAGCATAAGGCCCCTCCTTTCAACAAAACAAAACAAAACAAAACAAAACAAAACAAAACAAAACACAACACAACACAACAAAACAAAACAAAACAAAACAAAACAAAACAAAACACAACACAACACAACACATACAGATACGTCACCTGTGACAGAATATGTAGATGAAATCGTTATCCATGCCCGGTCCATTCTAAAAACACCTATGCGTCAGATCCAAATCATATCCGAATTCTTTGTCCATTTCCAGTCATTGGTCAAATCCGTTTAAGATTCAAGTTCCAAGTTAACAAGTTCCAATATTTGAAAAGTCGTGTTCATAAAATTCTTAGATAAGGGTTTTAACCATAAAGCTTTAAGACTCCCGCTTCAGACAATACACACTGTAATCCACAGAACCAGCAGGACTGAGTTTTATGGCAACTTTTCAATTCTTCTTAATGACATAAGTTGGGGAATTTGGGAAAGGAAAAATATGATTGATATGCTAAACGTTATATTTTGCGGGATCGGCTGGATGATCGGGAGAAAAAATTGTTCTGTGTTAAAACTATAATCCTGACATTCGTCAAACGTTTTCACATTTCCAAATAGGTAGGCAACATTATATTATGAAAAGGGAATCGGAATATAAAGAAGTTTTGATATGCCATTCTGATTGTTCATAGCATATTTTTCTCCTACATTAAAAACAAGTGTTACGTCGACTTATGGCGATTTATATTTCAGGCACTTCATTACCCCGGCCCCATGTTTATTTACCCACAGGCAATGTGAACTTGTCCCGACTAATTTTGTCACACAGAAAAACACAATAGTTTGTAATTGGGAGGGTTATGGGTGCTGAAACGCCGTGAACTTGAACGTGGCTCCGGTTTAGCCTCCTTTTCAGGCGTTCCCGGATCGGTCGTTTTTTTCGGGGGGGGGGGGATTTTCTGGTCAAACGAAGATCGCACGCAATAGAAGCTCCGGCTGGCAACCCTACGTGCGATCTACGTTTGACCAGAAAATACCCCCTCCCCCCAAAAAAGACCAATCCGGGAACTCCTGAAAAAGAGGCTAGCTCCGGTTCTCAGTGAGCTTTGGTTATTTATCTAATTTATTTAGTACAGATAACTTACACTTATCCCCATATAATACCGATTAGCACGCTTTTTACAGTCAAGTACTTTAGTACTAAATAAATGGGATGAATAATCAGATCTTCTCAGTGACAAGCCGCGCCGACGCACACGACCTTTCTGAGCGCCGCCAGTATGGCGACGAAGTCCTTGTTGAAGACGGTGTAGATGACGGGGTTGACGGCGGAGTTGCAGTAGCCCAGCCACACGAACAGCTTGAAGATGACGTCCGAGACCGCGCACGTCTCGCACACGGTGACGGTGACGTAGGTGACGAAGAACGGCAGCCAGCAAACCACGAACGCCGTGATGACGATTCCCAGGATCAAGGTCAGCCGCCTCTCCTTCTTCTTCAGGAAGCGTTCTTTGCTTTGGAGGTGACCCACCATCTCGGCCATGACCGATTTTGACTTTTTGCGGCGTCGATTGGGGCGTTGTTTGGCCGACTTGAGACAATGGAGGGTCTCCTTGGTAGAGGAGTCGTCCTTACGTGGACTCTCACTCACCTGGCGTGATGACAGCATTTCCATGTTGTTTCCCGCTTCTTCGTCTTGCGGGCTCAGTGAACCCGGCCGCTCGTCCGCTCGGGCCAGTCCGCCATCTGTGGTACTGTCGGTCTGGATGTGCAGGTTGATGTCAGCGAGTGCGATGTCAGGGAACCACATAGAAATGTTCGGAAGAGAAGAGTTGAGCTCACCTCTCGTTGCCAACACTGAGTCGAGGCTGTAGCTGCGGCGCAGTGGGGTCGGCCTGAAGTCGGCGCTGCTGTTTCCTGACACAGATTTTCGTCTGGTCTCCAAGGTGGTAGACTGTTTGGTCTTGCCGTTTCCGCTGTCGCATCGTTCTGCTGAGGGAGTTGCCAGTTCTATTATGATGGCCGGGCGGTGCGTGGTGTGGTCATTGGCGGTAGGTGCTGGTTTCTTGCAGGGAGTTTTCTTCAAGAGTCGAGTGGTCACGGCGGAGTACACTTTACTGTATGCGATTGTTATGGCAACCAGGGGGATGAAGAAAGATCCTGTGAAAGAAAAATTAGGAATGGTTTAATTCAAATATTTTCGTAACTGGAAACGTTTCGCAATATATGTTCTGGTACAGTCACAATTTTACTGCATGACGTCGACAATCATTCTGTTTCAATCAGCGCTATTTTGTTATGCATGATGCAAAATCAGTTTGTCATGATAAATCTGAGTTGACAATGTGATTACTTCATGACGACAGTAGAGCAGGGTACATACCGGAAGCAGAGAAGAGCACGTAGCCCACGTCGGTGCTGTAGCGGCACTGCGGGTAGTCCGGGTCCCAGGGGCGGGAGTCCTTCCACCCGAACAGCGGCGGCACGCTGATCAGGAACGCCAGGAACCACACCACAGCGATGGCGATCTGACGTGCATTCAGAGAAATCATGTACAGGCATATGTATGAATGGGATTGGAACGGGTCATAACAGAAATCGTAGAGCCTAGCTGACAACTTCAAGGAAGCCGTACTTTTGCACCTGAGGAAACAATAAGGGCGCAGCGCACCCCCCCCCTGTCGCGTCTTACCTCAACAGAGGGTGCTGCACAGTATAGACGAATGGTAT